TCGCAAAAACAATTCCCCAGGGCAGGCGCGTGAGCTGCTCTTGGGTTTTGCTGGGCCTTTGTGCTCTAGATTAACCCCCGTTTGAGCCCAGCTGTTTCCCCTGTGGAGGTTCTCCTACACCAGGGCTCCGTCTGCACTGGCATGATCTTGTGCAAGACCTCTTTTGGGCGGTGCCGTAGGGCAGGAGGGAGCAGTGATCTGGGGCAGGGAGTTGGGAATTAGAAGGGGCTGGGGTGCCAGAGGCAGGCTCTGGCTGGGAGTCACTTACCTTGGGCCAGGGGTGGGCAAGATAAGGGCCAAGTCCAGTCCATCAAGCTGTTTGATCCAACCTACAGCCCACCCTTTCGCTGCCCTGCCCCAGATCAGTTGAGACCTGGCGATGGGGGGTGTGGGAAGTCATTTGCTGTTTAAAGCTGCTGGGGACTCCCTCCACCCCACCAGGAAACATCATTTGTTTTCAACAGCAAGTGATTCTCCCCTGCTCCCCTGCCCCAAGGTCCTGATTGGCCTCCAGGTGGGAGAGCTCAGAAAGTCTCCTCCCTCTGCCAGGGCTAAACAGCACCTAGAGCAGGGGTGGGCAAAAGGGTCTCCTTGGGCCAGATGTGGCCTGCCAAGTTGATTGAGCCAGCCTGTGGAGGCCCTGCTGCTCCCCCGCCCCCAAGCCAATTGGAGTCTGGGGGCAGGAGAGCATGCAAAGCTTCCTCCCCCCTGTGAGGAGCACGTTACACTTCAAAGTGCTATGTGCTCCTGGCAGTGTGGGAGGAGATGTCACACGCTCTCCTGCCCCCAAGCTCTGATTGGCCTGGGGACGGGAGGAGCACTCGAAGTTTCCTCCCACCCTCCTCCCCAGGCCCTGATTGAAGTGCTGTGAGCTCCTCTCAGGGCAGGAGTAGGGCGGAAGGAGGCTTTGGGCATTTCACCTTACCCCCAGGCCATAGGGGTAGGGGAGCTGCGCAAAACTTCTTTTGCCATGCCCTGGCCCTGTGTGGAGCGCACGGCACACAAAGTGCCATGTGCTCCTCGCAGGGAGGGAGGAGGCTTCAAGTGCCCCCCTACCTCCACATCCTGATTGGCCTGGGGGCAGGGGGAAGTACCCAAAGTCTCCTCCCGCCCTATCCCCACCCTGCAAGGAGCATGCGGCAGGGCGCGGAGTGGGTGCATAGTGGGAAGGGTGGGCAAAAGGGCTCCCTTACCCCCAGACCAATCATGGTCTGGGTGTTGGGCAGCCCAGAAGCGTACTGGCCCTGCCCCTTCCCGTTTAGGCCCAGCCCCTTCCGAGTGGCACTTCAAACATTTTTAAGTGGCCCCTGACCAAAAATTATTGCCCATCCCTGACCTAGAGGGAGCTACCAGCTGTTCAGAATGGATGGCAGTTTCCTCTAGGTGCTGCACCCCCCTGGCACATCCTTGGGGGCTAAACTTTGCTTGCTCCCCTGCCCTCAGGCCAATCATCACAGCTAGGAGCAGAGCCTGGGGGCAGGGGAGTGCATGACCTCTCCCCTTCCCCCATGCCAGGGTCATGTGGTGCCTAGTAGGGATGAGAAGGACAAATGCTTATCAGATAGTTGACTAGTCACTCTCCCTCTCCCCCCCTTGCTGCCTTTATCAGATAGAGACAGCAAGGGAGGGGAGAAGAGTGGGGGTACGTCAAAGCAGCAGTGCCGCACGGAGCCTGGGGTCAGCTGCTCTGTGTGACGCTGCCGCTTTGAATGCCGTGGGGAGCCCGATGCTGGGCTCTCCTCGGCATTTGAAAGCGGCAGCACTGCATGGAACCCAGGGTCAGTGGGGGAGTCCCCAGCTTACCCCGGGCATCAGTGCTTTTGCCTTTGAAGTGTAGCAACAGCCCTGGGGCTGTTGCTACATTTCAAAGGTGGAGACACCCTATCGACTAATCAAATAGTCAGTGCAAAAATGCATCGACTTTTTGATTAATCAGTTACCTGATACTTAACATCCTCAGTGCCTAGAGGGAACAGCCAGTTGATTTGAACAGCTGGAGGCTCCCTCTATGTGCCCCTTGCTATTGGCGGGGACGATACTTTGCACTCTCACACCCTCAGGCCGATTGCCCCACCTGGGAGTGGGGGAGCGCACGAATTCTCTTCCCCTTTGCCCTCTCCAGGGTCGTGCGGCACCTAGAGGAAACTGCCAACCCCTTTTTGAACAGCTTGTGGCTCTATCTATGCGCCACACGTCCCTGGTGGGGAAGAGGGGGCAAAAGATTTCACACACTTCCCCACCCCTAGGCCAATCAGGTCCTGGGGACAGGGGAGCATGCAAAGTCTCTCGTCCCCTCCCACCCCATTTGCCAGGGGTACGCCTTGCTGTTTAAAATGTCTTGTGGCTCCCACTAGGCATCATGAGCCCCTCGTGGCGGGGGGGGGGGGGGGGCTGGGGCCCCCCGGGGGGGGGGGGGGGGGGGGAGGGTCGCCAGCTGTTTTGAACAGCCTTGGGGTTTCAGCAGTGTGGGCTGGATCAGATGGCTTGCTGGGCTGGATCTTGCCTACCCCTATTATACACTGTAATTCAGTCACTTCTTAATCTTTTTAGTAATCTGAATAGACTGAGCTCTCTGACTCTTGTTTTAAGTCCTGTGACTTGCTTTTGTCACTCTCTTCATTTTCCTCTCTAATTTTTCAGCATTGTTTTTAAAATGTGGACTCCATATGGAGAGGTAAAATTACCTCTCTGCTTCTGCTCATTACTTGCCTATTTCTACATCTGAGGAAAATACTTGGCTCTTTTTGCCACATCATCACAATTGGAGCTCATATGCAGTATTGCTTTTCCATTATAACCCCAAACATCTTTAAGGTAGTTATCTTCACAAATGATGGGGCAAGTACTGTACCCTGATCTTTCTGGATCAGAAACTGAGATAAAAAGAAGCTAAAGGCTTATTCTAAACTAGAAGTTATTTACAGGATATACAGAAAAGAATGAGTTTACACCTCCTTACTGTTATACCAGTATAAGTCCCCGAGTGGACACTCCTAGTACTTCTCTCTGGTTTAGCCCTTATTTCTTTGGAAGGAATTTATGGTAGTGCCAGCTCTACTGGGCTTATGGTACAAGAGATGTGATGAAGTGTTTTAAAGGGCTACTGAGTCACTTTGTGTCATTTTCTTTCCCAGCCCTCAGTGTTATTTGTAATAGATTGCCTCACCCAAGAAGGTAGACTGCTCAATGAACAGGTATTGCTCCCAGAGAATGGGGCTGCACATTACTAACATCCGTACTCTGGTGGTGTCAGTTATGTAGTTTACCATATAAAAAGTAAACCACGATCACATCTCTTCTTCTAACTTGTAATGTCAAACTGCTATATATATATTTGTGGTCTCATCAGCACTTAAAATGTGGAGGTGGGAGAAATAATGTAATGCTGTCTATTGGCACAGATGTATGCTCAAAGCACGGGATAAAAGTTAGCATGGTTTGGAAACTAGTATATTTGACAAGGCACTGGAAACATTTAATCACTTTCAATAAGAAATATTTTGTTACTTCAGAACAACTTGTTTTCTGTCTTGAATGACTATACAAGCAAGGTAGCCTAATAATACAAGGATATCTTTTTGTATAATTTTGAATGCTTAGAGAGTATTTTGAAGAACTAGAAACTCAAAGTATACAGTATAGTAGTCATTGTAAGTGGCTACAGGTTACCCGTATTGATTTCTAAACTGTTCCTAACACTCCATGCAGGAAGCGAATAATTATTTGCAAATAAGTAAGGCAAAATGAGATGATGGACAAAGAGGCTTTTGAAGGGAAATTTATGGAAAGATGGAATTGTAAATGATTTCAGAGCTGCCTTCAGAGTAAAATTGTACACTTCAAGATATCCAGTTCAGTATGTGAAAAATTAGGCCCGGTCAGTTTGATTAACAAAGCTGTTGTGTGTAACTTGTACCTTTTCCCCTTTCCCATCTTGCCTAGTACAAAACAAAGGTGCTTTACTAGCACAGGGTTCTACAACAAGGAAGATGAATCTGCCACTTCTACAGACAGTAGTGCTGAGAAGGTTTCAGAGAATCAGGAGAAGACAACACAAGGAAATTCAAAGAAGAATTTGTTAAACATCATTCATGAAATGAAAGTAGAATTAAGTTCAAAGAAGAAATTCCAGATGCTAAAAGCCCTGAAGACCCAGGAGCAAACCAAGGACCAGCCAGAAAGCATGGAGAGTGCAAGCAGCATGTTTCAGAAAGCTACAGCAGACAGTAAAGCTAAGAGGTAAAATGCAGTATGCCCAATTCAGGTGTTTCTTCTTCAAAATGGACTCTATTATTCTGTAGGATAAATAGTGGAATAAATGTCTCTTTTTTGTAGACATGAATCCTCAATAGAAACAGTCCTTTCATTAATAAGAAGACTGGGCCTATTGGTTAATCCAAAAGACTGGAAACACTCTCCCTCCCCTCCCTGCTGCCTCTTTTAAGCAAGCTCCCCATGAGCACAGAATCCCATAGAACTGCCTGCTACTCCTCACCCATGCACTGCTACCTCTTAGAGAGAGACAGCAGGGGAGGTAGCAAGTGGGGGCCAATACATGCGGGGATCCAGCTTTCGGTCTGTGCGGGCTCCGCTGAACCATCTGCCCTGCCTTGTTGCCTCCTGTGTCAGAGGCGTGCGTGTGTGTGTGTGCGTGCGTGCGTGCTCGGGCGGGCGGGGGGCAAGCGGGATTCCAGAGCAGCTTCTGTCCACAGTGGTCCCGGATTCAGTGGCAGGGGACTCCCTGGGAGTATGGCTGGGAGTGCACTGGCTACTGGCCTCGATGTCGGGGCCCATTGAATAATTGTGTAACTGCTAAGATTTTATGCAGTTACATGATTATTAAATTAAATGATAACAAAAATCCATAGTTGGTGGTTCAGTGATGTTAGGGTATCCCTTCCACAACTTAAGAACACCAACTCTGCAGTGCCCCCAAGTCTCTGGTGGTTTTGTGAGGCAAGAGACAAACCTGAGCTTCTTGAAACAAGCCTGGCTCTTTCTTTAGGGGTGGTGGTGTAGTGGTTAGCATGGCTGCCTTTCAAGTAGTCGGTCTGGTTCACTTCTCTGCCAACGCAGGCAATGGCTCAGGTCTTGCCTTTTGAGGACAAGGGGCAATGGGCTTAAATTGCTGGAAGGGAGGTTTTGGTTGGACATTAAGAAAAACTTCCTAACTGTCATGGTGGTTAAACACTGGAATAAATTGCCTAAGGAGGTTGTGGAATCACCATCACTGGAGCTATTTAAGACCAGGATAGATAGGCATATATCAGGGATGATCTAGATGGTGCCTGGTCCTGCTGTGAGGGCAGGGGACTGGATTCTATGATTCTCTTCTTTGATGGGATGTAACTTACCTTTAAGTCAGTAAGATGTAACATAACTATTTACAATAACAAATGACTCGTGAAATAATGATGTATAAGATCTTGATTTTGTTTTCTAAACATTTTGCACCTCTGTTGTCTCTTATTGGAGCAGGCCTCTAAATCCAGAACTGGTGAAAGCCGCCTCTGCTGTTGCATCTTCGTTACCTTTTGACAGGAAACGAACAGTGTCAGATTTACTTGCATTACTAAGGAAGCATGAAGAAGCCACTGATGCACAGAAAAAAGGAGAAATGACTAACATAAGGTCTGTAGATTACATATTTCCCAGAGTGCTGAAGCCTCTAATATTAAATTGTCTAATGTAAGGTGGTTGAGCATTTAATACAAAAAAACTTCTTGAAAGAGATATACTTGTGCATGTTATCCCTTCTTTAAAAAGGTAATAGCAAAGGTGCAGTTAGTCTGTTTATACTAAATTATTTCTGTAACTTTTCAGCCATCTAGTTGGCATCTTTCCTCCAGAGCAGCTTTTCAAAATTCTGGTTGCCTATTTTCCCAAGGTGTTTTTTTTTTTTTTTTTTGGATGAGCTAATAAAGTATCATTAGGTGAATTTTTTTTTTTTGGTCTTGTCATTTTCATCAACTGTCACAGAGAGAGTCTGAAAGTTCATCTATGTGGACTGGTAGATTTTAATGACAATGCAACTTTTAGAAACTAAGTAAAGCAACCTCTGTTTATAGTCAACTCTACCCATCAAAAATTTCCAATAAACTCATTCCTTGGCACTGTTCCTTTTTCTTTAAATGTAGCTTCTATCCAGGCGAGGAACATTTATTTGGAAGCTGTGATGGAACAGTGCATACTGTACTATTTGGAGATGGCTAAAGACAGGCTGCTGACTTCTGTTACTTTCAGTGTAGCAGCTCAGAAAAGAAAATATTATCAAAAGAAAATGCTAAATAAAAAGCAGAAAACTAGATCTTCAGCAACTGAGAATGTGGAGACCTCTTATTGTGCATGTTCGCAGTAACAAAGTAGTTTACAGGATTATTTTTATTGTCACATGAAAATGACTCTAGATTTGGGGCAAATTCAGGTATTGACTTAAGTGGTAAAGTGGTAGGAAATGTGGATTCATAAGACTTATTAAAAGTTATTTGTGAGGTTTTATAGGGATTAGTTATAGGGCCTTTTGCATTCAGTAAATATACTAATGAGTAGCAGAGCATCTAGATCAGTGGTCACCAACCAGTAGATTGGGATCTACTGGTACATCTTGGAGCCACAGACAGATGATCCTGACTGGTTTGGCAAAGAGGCTATCAAGCGCAGCACTTCAGCTCCCCCTCCCCCCACTGCTGTGCAATCACCTGCCCTTTGCCTTGGAGCTGCCTCCCCCCGCCCTACTGGGAGTCCCTGCTTGCTGTGCAGAGAAGGGAAGGGAGAGGAGGGGGTGCTGATGTCAGGGTGTCCCCCTCCCACCCTGTATTCTACCTCCCCAGAATGGAGTGGGGGCACAACAAGGTTTGGGATGGAGGGAGACTGCTGGCTACTTTTGGGAGCGGTGCAGGTCCAGGGCAGAGGTGAACCTGCCTTAGCCCCACTGCATTACCACCCAGCAGTCACCTGAGGTAAGCAGTGTCTAGCTGAAGCTAGCTCCAAACCGCTGCCCCAGTCATGACCCCCCCTGAACCCAAACTCTTACAGAAGCTGTTCCCTCTCCTACACCCCTGTCCCAGGCTCAGCTCAGAGCCCCTCTTAAACGCCAAATCCCTTAGCCCAAGACCAGAGCCTGCACTCCAACCCTCTGCCCCTGCCTGGTAAAAAGGAGGGAGGATTGGGGAGGAAGGGAGGATGGAGTGAACAGGGGCAGGACCTTGGAGAAGGGGCATGAAGTAGGTAGGACAAGAGTATTTGGGTTTGAGGTAGATCCAGGATTTCACTTAAATTCAAAAAGTGATCTTTTGCTTGAAAAGGTTGGAGACTGCTGATCTAGATGGTCACAAAAACAAAATGGTGGTAAAGCACATTGATAGATGAATGTTAACTTTAAGTATTAAGGTAATGCAAATTGTGAAAGCATGTCAGTGGGAAAGAGAAAAATTATGTAATCATTTAATATTGATTGAAAATTGTGAATGAATCCACCAGAATAGCTAGCCATTGTTGTGAACAGATAAATGAAATTAGCTCTTTAGAGACTTAGAAGATTGGATGCATTTAAAAAGTGGTGGTGGAAACTAAAACATTAGATAATGCACATTGGTATGCATTTCCCTGGAGAAATATGTTCCGTTTTAGTCATCTCCTCTCAGCAGAAATGTAAAATATCCAGAGAGGGTTGATAGAAAAGGATACTGTGAGTATTAGGGATTACTGTGAGTATTAGGGATTACTGTGAGTACCTTAGGGATTATTAAGGTCAGCGATTTTCAACCTTTTTTTATTTGAAAAAAATTTCAAATGCAGATTTGGACCCCTTTGGAAATCTTTGACACAGTCTGTGGACTAAGGATGTTAAATTTCGATTAATCAGTTAATCAGAACTACCGGGACTGTGCCTGTGGACTTGGAAGACACTGCTATATTACTTAAGATATTATTCACATTTGTACGATTAATTTCACAGCATTTATTTATTTATTTATTTGTTTTGCCTCGTTAGCAGTGGCATCAGAGAGGTCAGGCCTCAATGTGCTAGGTACTATGTACACAGAATGAAAAGTTGGTTTCTGTCTGAGACTTTGCAAGCTAAGTAAAATGATTTGATATAGTCATCGTCTCTTCCTTTTTCTTTTAATGAAAGTTTAGAATCTTGGAGAAATTAAGAACTGTTTGTCACTGTGTAAGAGAGAGAACTCATTATTTTTGGTCTGCATGGGTTTGTAAGTAGGGATGTTAACAATTGCGTAATATGGTAACTGTGAAAATGCTATTAACAGTCTTAGCAGTTACACTAAGCTTTTTGCTGCAGAGACTGCAGCCAAAGCCACCCCGGGAGTGGGGCCACAGCAATGCCACCTCCCCAAGAGTGCAGTGGACAGCCTTTGCCCACCCGGCACCTGGGAGGAAGCTTCGCTGCCCTGCTGCAGGAAGCCACCTCCCTGTGAGCCAGTTGAGTGTTAAACAGTTCATAGAACACTAGAACTGGAAGGGATCTCAAGAGAACATTGAGTCCAGTTCCCTGCCCTCACAGCAGGACCAACTACCGATAGGTGTCTGTCTAACCTGCTCTTAAATATCTCCACAGATGGAGATTTCACAACCTCCCTAGGCAATTTATTTCACTAGTTAATTGGTTATACCCTAACATCCATATTCGGAAGACATGTTTTGTCACCCCCACATATACTGCATCATACAGTTGGCCAGATGCATCATGGCTGGATTGCCATTCTTTGAAACATCAAGTACTGATTGCTTCTGGGACAGCATACTAGGCCAGGGACAGGCAATTATTTTTGATGGGGGGCCACTCCAAGAGTTTGGAAAGCGGTGAAAGGCCACACACATCCATATTAATGCAGGAGGTGTGGGGTCTGGGATGGAGGTTGGGTGCAGAAGGGTGTTTGTAGTAAGGGATTGGGGTGCAGGAGAGGGTTTGAGGTCTGGGAGGGAGTTTGTATGAAGGAGGCAGCTGTGACCTGGGTTAGGTGATTACGGTGCAGGGGTTGGGATTGTGACCTTCAGCAAGAGGGGGCTGTGATCTGGGGAAGGGAACTTGGGTGCAGAGGTTTAAGTTGTGACCTAGGGCCAGGGATTGGGATGCAGGATCTGGGAGGGAATATAGGTACAGGAGGGGTGCAGAGGGTTTGGGTTGTGGCAGAGGATTGGGATGCAGAATCTAGGAGGGAATATGGGGACAAAAGGGGGGCAGAGGGTTTGTGTTACATTGGGTAGGACTCAAAGGCTTGGGGGGCCCAGAGGCAGGCTCTGACTGGGAGACTTTACCTGCTTGACTCCCAGCCAGCAGCCTTCTCTAGCAGACTCCCCTGCCTGCCCAACCCCTGCACTGGCTTCAGCTATGAGTCTGAGGGGAGGAAGGGGAGGGTGCTTCACAAACTGCCTGTTGATGACAAGCAGGTCCCATTGGCTGGAAACCGGCCAATGGGATTGTGTTGAGGGCAGGACCAGTATGTGACGCATCACTCCCCCCTCCTTCTGGCTCAGGAGTGAAAGACAAACAGCTGCAGCAGCTGCTTCTCTGAGAGGCGGTTAGGGGGTGGGAGGCTGTAGTGCAAGCACGGAGTCTCCCTGAGGTTCTCCACTGCGTCTGCGGGCTGGATCTGGCAGCTTGGTGGGCTGAATCTGGCCGGTGGAGGGTATTTTGCCCAGGCCTGTACTAGACTAAATGTACCACTGTTCTGAGACAGTAGATGGTTAATGTAAAACATTCAGAGATGGATTTAATTGATTGAAATAGCTACACAAGCATAAGTACTGTACAATATAACATTGTTTCTCTAAATCAGAATATTGTTATTCTGATTGAGGTATTAAATTATAATAAAGATCATAATTATAGCCAAGAAGTCATAGCTTATATTGTGTTTAACATACAGTCTGTCCTCTGGATGTCACTGTTGCACAGAATCTTCTCCTATCAGTTTGTTTTGTGGACATATTGAGGACAGTATGTTCACTAGAAGGGGAAAAAATTAATGATACAGGAATTTGTGTGTGTGGGAAGAAGTTTTGCTCAGTGGAAATTACACCACCACTATAGGAAAATCAATTTGGCAATATTAAAGGTTAGAGTTAAATCAACGAAGGAAAAGGAATTCCGAGTTAAAGCTAAAATGCATCCTGAATTCTCCTTCACTTTTTCTTTTTAATCCATGTAGTACAAGTGATCATTCCTGTCCAGACATCTGCAATACATACACACAGTGGATTAACTGGGGGATAGAATTTCCATTTCCTACTTTTCTTATTGAAAGAAGTCTAGTTTTGTTTTTTTCCAGTTAATTTCCTGTTTCTTCTTCAATGTTGTAGAGCAGGCCTGGGCAAAATATGGCCTGCGGGCCGGATCTGGTCCGCGGAGGCAGTGGGGAATCCCACATAGGCTCCCCAACTTGTCCCACAGCCCCGTGCACTGTGCAGAAAAGCAGCTGAAGGGCTCTGTTTCTGTTTTGAAACTGGAAGGAAGGAAGTTTTAGGAGCTGCCCCGACCCCAGCATATTCCCATTGGCCGGTTTCTGGCAGAAACTGGCCAATGGGAGCTGCTTGTTAGAATAACAGACAGCTAAGAAGAATCACGCCCCCTCTCCTGGGCTCAGTTATTCATAAAGTACAAGTAGGCA